ATTATTTGAGAATTTATCTAAATTATTCCAATTATAAAATTGTGATGTAGCTTTATTCGAATTGTAATACGCATTTAATGTCATCTTCCGATTAAAATGGATCGATCTTTGTAAATTTTAATTGGAGATTATTCAATATTATAAAAATCACCCTCTACCAACTTAATTTTTACATATTTCGTCTGTTTTCCCTCAATTTGATAAAATACTTCTTCCTAGTTACGACTTAGTTGCAGCTGCAGCCGAAACTAAATTTTAAGTTAGTACTTAGCCAGAAAAGTCGAAACTAAGGCGACTATGAATAGCTTTAGTTGTGACTTAGAATAGTTTCGACTTAGTTGGGTACTAAATATGACTATGAATATGCGACAATAACAATAGCATTAAAGCTCAGTTAGTCTAGAGTTAATTTCAGTAACTTAACTTAATATTTTGGCCAAACTGTTGTATGAGGAACTGTGTTGGCGGTTAGTTAAAACTTAACTTACCGTAATCAACTTAAGAAACTATAGATTTTAGATTCTTAATTTACGGCCTTATGGAAATTGAGAGCGGTGAGAGAATCAGGCTTGTCAGAGTCTCGTTTTTGTATTTCTTAAAAATAAATGAACGCAAACATTATTGTTTGCATGCATTTTTTTGATGTGACATTTTAGGCGGCGAACTGTTAAACAGTTGAAAAAGAAAATACAAAAACAAAATATTTCCGCTTTTGGCTTAACATAAAATATCCATCCGTAACTTGTTTATGTTCTAATTTATGGGCGAAGCATTGAATTTGAAAGCTTTAATTTTTCAATAGTTAACTAGCGGCATTTTATTGCTATTATTTTTTCAAAATGGTCGTAAAGTTAATACAAAATGACGTAGATGGCCATATAGACACATACAAAACGGGCATAAAGTCAGTTGGTGCTCGTTAGAATAAACTAATTACACAGTGCAACAAATTCCAAAAAATTGGAGATGATGGGAATCGGACCAACAGCATTTGATTAGCTGGTCAAATAATGAAAAAGTACCAAAGGATTTGAAAAAGTTGGTTATCATTTCTTTTTTATCTCAATTTGTAATTCGTGTTTTCAGGTATAATGTTTTGAAATAAAAAAATAAAAAACACATTATTCAAAGTTAACGGAGC